GTGGGTGCCTTCAGTCTTAGTTACATTCTCCACTTCATTTGACTGAATTCCACTTGTGTTCTTGGCTCATCCAACTTCTGTAGTTGAAAACTATAAACATCATGGTGTCTTACCCATTTCTTTGGCTGTGTACTAAATATGTGTTTGCCCGAATTCATTGGCTTATTGCTTTCTTTTGTGATTAAGTAAACCTGATATGCTGTATCCCAAACTAATTATTCTGCTGATCTCTTTCCTAGTGAGCATAGTCATCTGTCTCTCCCTCTGTCTGTGTCTGTCTCTCTCTTTCTTAATTCTCTGGGTTTTAGCTTCCTTTTTGGAATATCTTCTGGTTTCCGTTAGGTTTTATTTCTCCATTAATCCCACCAAATGCTTAATAATAGCACATTCAGAGATTGCCTATTTGACTTCATAGAGAAGAGCTGAATGTTTACGAGATTACACACATTTGCAATTGAGTGACCTAGGGTAATAGAAGAGGATGCAGACCCTCCTGATTTAGTTTTAGAGGCCTTCTTCTAAGCCTTTATTCTAAAGATAATCAAATTAGACTATAGGAACAGCAGTATCTTGTCTCCCAGCACTCACCAAATTAGACCACTTTGAAAGGGCAAATAAGATGCTGCTTAATTTCAGTGTCCTCTCAGCCATCCGTTATAGCAGATGAATGAGGAAAGAGTGGCCTCTGAATCTACCAAGAAAAAAGAAAGCACAACCTATTTCAGTGCTAATGAAAATTTAGGGATTCATGCAAGACTAAACTTCCTTATTCACAGTAAATAAACACACTTTCATTTCTTCAGATATACATACAATGAATACTTGACAATGAGGGTTTAACATTATTCATGAAGGTGATGGACAGGCGTCTCTGAACAAGGCAGCCATAAGAGATCCATAGAGGATCTCACATGCCCCAACACCTCCACCACCACTGCCTGAATCAGAGATGGTGACTAGACTCCTCGGTGGCATAGTGTGAGGTATAGTAAAGACAGAGAGGTTCTTATACGGGCTCTTATCGGGCATCAGGCTTTATTCCAACAGTCTCATCCATGTTGTTTAATCTTTATAGATACCCCATGAGATTGGAACTAACTGTGATTGCCCCAGGGCACACAGCATACAAACATCACAGCTGGGGTGAAAACTAATAGGGCTGACTCCATACTCTGCAGTCCACATTTTTACATTGTACTTGGGATGTGTGTTACAAAGAGAAAGGCTCCATGTCATTTGAAGTTAATGGGACATTCTTCTGCTGTGTACTTACAAGCGCTGTCACAAATGAGAGAGAGGGAGAGAAGGATAGAGGGGGGGAGAGAGAGAGATGCATTTATTATTAAAATAATAATAAAATTTGTCAGTCTTAAGAATGTAGATAACCATATCGTGATAGTTATTGCTTGCCCAAAAGACAAACAAATATGTAGGCAAAATGCAGCCCAAACAAAAAGACTATGTTGGTATTTTGTTTCTTTCTTTCCTTTTGTTATAACATTTTGTTTTCAGGCAGTAATGAGTTTCTTCTTTGATTTAATTAGAAAATCTGCTTCACTTCCAAACTAACATTCAGGTAAGTGTCAAGCTTCCAATTATACACATAAAAAAATAGGTTTGGAATCTATGTTAAAAACTCTATTTGCATTAGGCTTTGATTATCATAAAGGAAAAATGTAAATGTTTCCAACTGGTCCAGCTACATAAATAACCATCCACTGCTTAAGTGCGCAGTAGAGTTTTCCCCTGAGAGAATTCAATAACTTGGAGAGTAATGTAATGGTAATTAATTACCAGAAAGAGATTAATATTGCATGCCAAGAGTGATAAAGAAATGCACAGAGGCCCTGCAAACGTAGTCTGCAGGCGGTACAGAGAAGGAAATGTTGTGAAGCAAGACTATTTAATTCAAATTTCAAGCTTATTTCACAAAAGACTATTCCTCTTTTTTCGATCAATTATCTCAGTTGAGTCTCTATTCCGTATCACCTGAACACTTGGCAATTACCTCTTTATTGGCCTTCATGTTCCTGATAGTGTATCTCACCTAAACTCTCATCTTAGGAAATCCATTTATGTCTTGCTGTTCCCAAATAATTTCATGACTGAATCCTTCGATGGCTTCCCATTGCTTTCAGCATACATTCTAGTCTTTAGAGAAAGATTTTGAAGTTCTTCATAAGCATGGCTTTGACCAAATTTGCTCTGCTTCTCCCTCCCTTGTCCCCAAGGTCCATCTTCCACCAACCCACTATTTCCCAAATGTGACTTCTAAAAAAAATTCAGTAGAACACTTATAAGTTAAAAATTCAGATTCCTAGGGTTCTTCCCAGAAACAAGATTCTCTAGGAAAAGGGGCCTGGAATCTCCATTGTAATGAGTGACCCAAGTCTTTCAGACAAGTTTGGAAACTTTGTCCTAAGAAAACCACACCATTTGCTTGGGTCACGTTCACATCCCCTGAAAGTGACCCACACTTCCCCTCTCCCAGGCCCTTTGCTTACCATAAACCATTTTGCTTCTTGAAATCCTACTATAGTGGACAGTTCAACCAGCACGATCTTAGTATGGGTGTCCCCCTGGATAGAGCCTAAGACAAGACTTTGAATGCAGGTGGTTTATTTGAGAGGTGATCATGGGAAACAGGAGTAAAGGAGTATGAGAAGTGAGGCAGGGAAGCGAGAAAAGGACCACATAAGGATCTTTATTAAGGTTCTTGCTGTCGGCAACGGCAGCTCAATTCTGCTGGCTCATTGGCAGCCTCCTAAAGAGTGCACAGAAAGCCTTCTAAAACTGTCCATCTGAAGGGTAGAAGTTTGGGCATTTATCTACCTTGGGTTCTCCTCTGTGGAGGAGACCCAGGGCCATTAAATTCCTTGCTCCTCCGGCTGCGGGATCCTGTCACATTGAAGCAGGCCCTGGGGCAGAAGGTGGAGAGAAGCACTGTGTATGCTCCAGGTGGGATTCTGCCAGCTAGAGGTGAGTCAGAGCTCAGACAGAACTGTTCACTGCAGCTGCAGCTAATGTCAGAGCTGGGCCCAGGGATGGGCCCAGGCCGCAGGGGCAGTCACCACATGCATCCTCTCCATGCTGTATAATTATCTATTGTTGTGTAACACATTACCCCATAACGAATGGTGTGGCTATAACAACACACATTTATTATGTCAGAGTTTCCGTGGGTCAGAAATCCAGGTGTGAGTTGGCTGGGTCCTCCAGCTCAGGGGCTCTCACAAGGCTGAAGTCATCTCAACGCTTGACTGAAAGAGTGTGCTTCCTGGCTCACTCATGTGGTTGTGGGCAGGATTCAGTTCCTCATGAGTGGTTGGACTGAGGGCCTCAGTTCCTCGCTGGCTGTTGGCCAGAGGCCTCCCTGTGTTCCTTGCCACAGGGGCCTCTCCATGGAGCTTTTCACAACATGGCGGCTGGCTTAATCAGAGTGAGAAAGCATGAAGGCAAGTGAGGGTGCCAGCAAGACGAATTCAGTCTTTTGTGACCTAATATCAAAAGTGACATCTCTTTGCTTCTGCTGTGTTCTTTTCATTACAAGTGAGTCACTAGGTCCAGCCTACACTTGAAGCGGCAGGATTCATCGTTTCCCCATCCTTACAGTCACCTCTGTGATCCATTATCAGCATTTGATAAATCAGCCATGAATTGTCATGATAAAACGTTACATTAAATGTCATTTTGGTGTTTTCCCTGTCAAATTTTAGATGTGATTTTCCCTATATTTGAAACTTCTGTAGGTTTAAGGCAATATAGGATATATGCAGAGATCATCTGAATAAACCACTTGACACTTTTCTCAAAGAATGCCTTCTTAAAATTAATTCATATGAAATCCAGTCAAGAGATAATAAGTACTACAAAAACATAAGGCTCAGTAAGCTTATAATTAATTTTTCATGCTACATAGGCCTGAAAGAAAATGTAAACCATGGCAGCTAGAAGATTTACCCAAAGCTTGCAGTGCTTTTGTGTTAAAGTCTTTAACTCTAGTAAACCATCTCCATGTTGCCTAGTGGAGAGGACATTGAACTTACACCCCGAAGCCCTGGGTCTGAGTCAGTTAAGTTCTCAAACCATCTGAGACTCAGTTTCATCTCCTATTCAATGGGGGCCTAAAATGAACCTCAGAGAGTTTATCAAATATTAATTAAGCACCTACGATGTGGTGCCTTCTGAAAAACACTAGTCACACTGCCTGCATAGTGCCTGGCACACAGTAGGCATGCAATAAATACCAACTGAATCTGACTCTGGGTCCAAGGGGACAGTTATACATCACTAAGGGGAGCCTCTGAAGATCTTCCCGGGGGAAGAGGGGAAGCTGTATTTATAGGTTAGATGATATTTATACAAGGAACTTGAATTTCCATGGGTGAGAAATGAAGTTGCAAACATTTGTTCTTGTAGATTGAAGAACCTATAGAAGTGGGAGTTCTGAGCCTGCCCCAGGGCATCAAGTACTTAAAACATATTTATTGAGTGCCTCCCTATTTATGGCACGCCGTCCTATGGGCCCCAGGATGGTTGGATGAAAACAGAGGCATGGCCCTTCCCTTGTGGGGCTTTCAGAACTTGGATTAACATGAGAGGGGTGGGTGCTGCCACTTTGGGCCAGAACTGGTGAGCATGGGTGCTTGTGTGGGCAAGACAGAAAGCAGAGATGAGGGGATGCCAATGCTTGTGTTCATAGTGACATGCTTGGGGGGCTGACGGTAGCATTTGTGGCAATGCTGGGGCATCTCTTCCTGTCATAGCACAGCGACTGAGAGCTTGGCCTCTGGAAATTGCCTGCCTGGGGTTGATTTGTAGCTTCACCATTGACTCGCTGTGTGGTCTTGGCTGTGTTACTTGATCTCGTTGAACTTCAGTTTCTTTATCTGAAATGTGGGAATAATGATAGGATATATTTCATGGGATTGTTGTGAGGACTAAAAAATTAATATAGGTAAAGCATTTAGAACAATCTGGCAAATAGTGTTTTGTAAGTGCTGCTGTCACTGTTGTTCTTCTTGTTGTTAATATTGTTCTTATTGTTGTTATTGTTAACAGTAATAGTAAGCCTCATGTCCCTCCTGTCTTTTTTGCCCATTACCCTTTACTGTTTTGTGTCATTTTCTTTGGTCTCTACCTTATTTCAGGGATTTTCAAATTTATGATTCTTATTTAAGAATAACCTGGGAAGTGTGTTAAAATGCAGATTTGGGGGCCCCATTTTTGTTTCAGCAGGCTTCGTCAGTTGGTTGTGAGGCCTGGAATTGGTGTTTCTAATAAATATCCAGGCAGACTGCCCTTTCAGAAGCTATTCCTGCCTTAAAGATTATAATCACAAAACCTAGGCACTGCTTTGCTTCAGACATTGGACTAAATGCTTCGTGTATCATTTATAATCCTTACAAGAGCTCTGCTAGGTCAACATCATTAACCTCATTTAATGGTGAGCAAACTGAGGCTCAGATCATTCAGATCTTACTCAAGGTAGCAAAGCTGGAAAGTTCCAGAGCCTGTCTGTTCTAAAGCCTGTCCCCTCGCCACTGTGTCATGCTGGGCCACTCTCTGTGAAGACCTGCCCGATTACTTTTAACCCGTCAATCCCCAATGTGAGGTCATCTAGCCCAAGATCATTTAGCTGAGCCTGACGATTTGGGCAGGCTAAGCTGTGGCCCAGGAACTGGGTCTAGTCCAGGCTGGAGAAACAAAAGGACGTCCAGATCTTTTTATTTCCTGAGAAATAAAACATTTTATTTTTTCCAGCTTTATTGAGATATAATTGACATATAACATTATGCAAGTTTAACGTGTACAGCATGTTGAATTGATACACATATATTACAAAATAATCACCAATGTAGCATTAGCTAACAGCTGCATCGTCACATAATTATCATTTCTTTTTTTGTGATGAGAACATTTAAGATCCACTCTCTTAGCAACTTTCAAATATATAATACAATATTAACTATAGTCATTACCCTCTACATTAGATCCCCAGAGCTTGGTCATGTTATAAGTGGAAGTTTATACTCTTGGACGAACATCTCCCCTTTTCCCCCACCTCCCAGCCCCTGGTAGCCACCATTCTAGTCTCTGTTTCTATGAGTTTGGCTTTTTCGGATTCCCCATACAAGTGAGATCATATAGTATTTGTCTTTCTCTGTATGGTTTATCTCACTTAGCATAACACCTTCAAGGTCCGTCCATGTTGTTGCAAATGGCAGGATGTCCTTTTTTCTCATGGCTGAATAATATTCCAATGCGTATATATATATACCCATTCATCTGTTGACAGACATTTAGGTTGTTTCCATATCTTGGCTATTGTGAATAACACTGCATTCAACATCAAAGTGCAGATGTCTCTTCGATATCCTCTTTTCATTTCCTTTGGATATATACTCAGAAGTGAGATTGCTGGATCATATGGTAATTCTATTTTTAATTTTTTGAGGAACCTCCATCCTGTTTTCCATTGTGGCTGTAACAATTTACATTCCCACCAACAGTGTACAAGTGTTCTCTTTTTTTCACATCCTTTCCAACACTTGCTGTCTCTTGTATTTTTAATAATAGCCATTCTAATTTCAGTGTGAGGTGATATCTCGTTGTAGTCTTGATTTGCATTTCACTGATGATTAGTGATGTTGAGCATCTTTTCATGTGCCTGTTGGCCATCCATATGTCTTCTTTGGGAAAACGTCTATTCAGTTCCTCTGTTCATTTTTTAATTGGATTGTTCATTTTTTTGCTATTGAGTTGTGAGTTCTTTATATACTTTGGATATTAACCTCTTATCAGATATGCAATTTGCAAGAATTTTCTCCCATTCTGTAGGTCACCTTCTTGTTTTGTTGATGGTTTCAGAAGCTTGTTAATTTGATGTGGTCCACTTGTTGATTTTTGCTTTTGTTGCCTTTGCTTTTAGTGTCAAATCCAAAAACTCATTGCCAAGACTCATGTCAAACAGCTTACCTACTATGCTTTCTTCTAGGAGTTTTACGGTTTCAGGTCTTAAGTTCAAGTCTTTAATCCATTTTGAGTTGATATTCTTGTATGGTGTAAGACATGGAAAGGATCTCCAGATCTTTAGTTTAATAGTTGTGTCAAACCAGTCTTGAAGGCCTTTCTCTGACTTCCATCTCTAGCTCCAGAAGCAGTACATTTGCCTTGCTCTTTAAGACAAAAATTCTGCTTTTCAATCACCTTGCTTTTTATGCCTTATTTCCCATTTTGCACACCACTCTCCAGTTCCTCTGAGATAAGGGTCCTTTATGACTCTTGCTAGTTTCTTCCTGAGACTGGTAAGCTAACCAACATGGTCCGGGGTCTGAGGTCTCTGACTTTTAGGTTTAGGCTATGTCCACGGGGGTGTAGGACCGGTCTCAGCTAAGCCATGGAGAATGAGTTTCCCAAAGAATAAGAAGGAATAGGAGTGCTGGGCAAACTAAAGTAAGAAATATTCACTAGGGTGAGATTTTAGAGGAGAGGTGATGTCTGAGTGGCATTTTGAAAGACAAAAAGCGTTTTAGACAGGCAGAGCTGTTGAGAAAGAGAGTGGTCAGGGGGAACAGGCATACAGCCAAGGTGGCAGGAAAGATCATGGCTTGTTTGGGGATTGTCAGGAGCTTCTTGTGACAGTAAAGGATGGTGACTAGAGAGGTGAGAATGACCTGGATAAGGAATAATATGGCAAACCATGCTCAGGATTCAGTGGGGGAGCCGTGGGAGGATTTTAAACACAAATGGCACATGATATCTAATCATATGAGTGCCTACAGTGTGCTAGCTAGGTAACGCTGATGCTGAGGTTTCTAAGAGCTAGAAAACCAAGGTGACCATACAGTGAAGTTTTATGTCACTTGAAATAAACTTGAAGTTTTATTGTGTGTGTGTGCACATACACACGTCACACAAGGACCATCATATTCTACCATGGAGCACCTTCCTTATAATTTCCAGACCTTTCACATTTATTTTGAAGTTTTACTGTAAAAGAGAGATACATATGAACATATCCAAATGAACTCAAAAGTTAACCAAGTATTTGAAAGCAAAATTAGCTTCTTGCTAATGGTTGAATCTTTTTTATCATTTTATCCTAAGTAACTCTCCACATGCTTTTCCTTGACAAGGACATCATTTAAAGTCACAGAGGAGTAAATGCAACTAATATGCTTCTCATTCCCTCTCACTGACAGATTTTTAATACAAGTGTCAGAGCGTGAATCTTCAAAATCCATTCTACCTCCTCTCCAGTCAACTCTCTCCACTCCGGCACTTTAGAGGCACTGGGAACATCAGCAGAGGAATAAATTTGTAACTTCTGATGTCCAATTAAAACAATTCAGCAACTCTTAATTGAATGTTTCCTGGGCATCGAGGTCCATCCCAGACAATGGGGGCTCTAAGATGAATTCAACTTGGATTGTGCCCATCCAGTAAGTGCATTAATGGATGCATATTCAAGGTTCGAGTTTGGGGGAAAGAGTTGTGAACTGAGTCATGGAGCAATATGTTGGACGGGGTACCTAAAGTTAGTTTCATATGACTGTAGCAAGTTGTAGCAAGGCAATGCAAGGAGATACGGTGGGCAAATGTCGTTGAAAGCTTAGCAGCCCATGTTAAAAAGAAGTGTGGATTTTATTCACTTTATCCTAAGAGCAATGGTCTCAAAGCCTTTAAAATGAAAGGTTTTAAGCAAGGGGCTAACACCAGGTGATCATCTTAGAAAAGATGCTTTGATGGATAGTAGGGCTAGTAGTAGCACATATTGAGTGATTGATAAAATTTTTAAAACGTGCCCTTTGCTCTAGGGAGATTACAGAGCCTGGTGCCTGGATTCATGATATGGGGGAGGGGGAGTAAAGTTGGACAGCAGCCCTGCTCCCCCTCAATATAAAACCTGCATAATGGCTAGCCCTAAAGGGTGGAATGGGGAATGCAAGTAGGAGGCTGTTACATTAGTCCTAGACAAGAAGTGATAAAGTCCTGAACCCGGGCTGTCACAGATAGAGAACGAAGAGAAGACACATTTGATAAAATCAGTGGGATATGGGCTTGATTGAATACAGGAGGGGGAGGGAAAGAAAGATACCTAGGTTGATGCCTAAGTATCTGACTTGGTGGTCTCAAGATGTCACATAGTAAATATCTCCATATGAGATTGTATTATGTTAACATTCAAAACAGCATATGGTTTAAAATAGGGACCAGGATGCATACATGTTGTTTAACGATTGTTGTTTAACGATTGTTGATTCTCATTATCTCTGGGAACGTTTTTAATACATCTCAAATGATTCCTCAAGTAAAATGAGAATTAACCTTCTTTGATTTTTTTCCTCTCCTTTTGGTGTTGATGTGTCTTCTATCTGGAAGCCACAAGGGCATATTTTCTGAGCCCTCTATGTTGCCTCAATTCATGGATGGCCCTGTGCCAACTCCAGCAATCCATAGATCCTCTTTCCTTAGCTGAACTACATGCAGTAAAAGAGCTAATCTAGAAGAGGCAATATCCCCCTGGTAAATATCACACCGATGGTGCTGGGTGCTGGAAATTGACCTGGGCCGGCTCTTCACCTTAGGAAGGGCAGGTGGAGAAGAGAAAGGTCCCACAGCCATGGCTCCCTCCTATTCTACAAACTACTTGCTTGTCTTGCCATATGGCTGATTGTTTCTCGCTTCCTGTCGGAACCATTGAGTCATCACACACATTTAGTGAAAGGGAAAAATATCCGGCTCCTAAACATTTAAAAAGCACTCAATTTTAACCAATCCCACCATTTAGTTGAATGAAATACTTCAATGGATCAATTTTCATACAGAATTAGCCTCTCTTTTTCAATGCTCTAATCATATTTCTTGTCCAGCCCAAATCTCAAAAGTTTGCTCCATTATTTTGTTTTCCATATGTTTTTTTTAAAAACCACAATGATATGTATGTGGACAACTACAAAAGCAAAAACAAAATGGAAAAAAAAAAAGAAGAAAAGGAGATTCTTTCTT